CCAGCCAAACAAAAGACAGGCATATGAGTTGAACATTTACCTCAAGTAAATACACTCCTTGAAGAGAACAATCACGGGAGAAAGAAGGGCTGCTTATGCACAGGGACACAGCTCAGGGGGCAGGAGTGTATAGAAGGATGGACACTGGGAAGAGGTAACTATGGAGAGGAAGTGGGAGGGGAGCTATTGCATTGTGGTAAACTATGGTCAATGTCATGAGACAAAGTATGTGAACTGCTGTATGGAAAGTGAATTTGCTCTGTAAATCTTCACTGAAGTCACAATTTTTTAAAAAAAAGTACAAAACAGAAGAAGGAAAAAAAACACATGAAGTCTACATCTGGAGAGAACAGTGTTCCCAGTACCTGGTATAAAAATATATATTTAAAAAAAAAAAATGCCGGAGTTCCGGCAAGATAGTGGACTAGGCAGAAAGACTGCACAGACCCTCTTCAACAAAGAAAAGGAAACCAATGTCTTAATTGTGTCTTAAGACACAGAAGATAATCTTGGACCCATGAGCCTTGAAGGGAAGGATAGAAGTGGACTAAACCCCAACTAGCAGAAGAATTTGCATGAAAATACCAAAAAAGGAGACATACAGAGCTGTGGTCTGGCAGCGATCCTGACAGCACAGACAGCTTGGTGATTCCCAAGTGGTGGTAGGATCTAAGAATTAACCTAAAAATCAGCCCTGCTAGCCAGGGACTGCACAGGGGACTGCTCTGGTGGCTGGGGAATGAACAGAGAAGATGAAAAGAAAGGTGGGCTGAGCTGTGGACTTTTGCTGGTCCTGAGGGCACTATAATTTTGAAGGTTTAAAAAGGCCTTGACTGTTTTGGATATGTAAAGAGACAGCATGCTCGCAGATTCCTGGGGCTTAAGAACAGGTTCTGCTTTCCAGCAACCTCAAGGTCACTCCGGACCTGCAAGACTGAAAAGATACCACATTCCTCTTGTTACTCTTATACCCCACACCCACTTGGTGAATGGAGGTGCAGCCATCCCCCAGTCCCACCTACCTTCTGGGCCCACAAGAACTCCATCACAGTCTGTGTGCTCAGATGGAGCCTGGATGCCTTGCCCTGTCCTCCACCAGTTTTTTCTCTTTTTTTATCTTTTTTTCCTTTTTCTTTTCCACTTTCTTTTTTCTGGTGATTAGTTTGCTTGTATGTGTCTGTTTTAAAACAACTATTATTATAATACTTTTGTCCTTTTTACTATTATTAATCTTCCCCTCCCAGGTCCTGGTTTTCAGCATTTTTTCTTTTCCCTGTTCCTGGTTGAAATTTTTTTTTTAATTATTATTATTATTTTTTTAATTTAAATGGTTTTTCCCCCCTTTTTTCTTGTGGTTAATCCCATTCCTTGTTTTTCTTTTTGCATTCTTCCCATTTTCTTTTCCTTCATTATTCTCCTTCTCTACTTTTTTTTTCTCTTAGTGCCCTATACTCAGATATTGCAGGTTTTCTTGTTTTTTTCTTCTTCTTTTTCCGTTTTTGCTTTTTTTGGTTACTGGGCCTGTGTGATTACATGGTGTGTTTTTTGTCCATGTGCTTTTAGTTTTTGATGGTTATTCAACTGTAATTTGTGTCTAACTAAGTGGGAGACAACAACAGTCCCCATAAGACACAACTAAACCCACACCTCCTGCAACTTCACTTACTGAGTGACAGCCACTACCTCCTTCTC